TATTCGTCTATGTTATTGGAAAATCTAAGGTATTTGTTATTTACGTATTTCATTATTTTTACTTTAACTTCTAGTTACTTGCCCCCCCCCCCCAACTTTTGTTTTCTGCAGGCGCCCTTGCTAATTAAGTACTTGTGTCATTAAATACTAAACCAAAAATCTAAGCAGCCAACTCTGGATGATGCAAGCCAAAAGTCGAAATGTGCCCTATTTCATGGGCTTTTTTTATCCCCTTCTCCAGTATAATTCCTAAAACAGCCCAAGTACACTGATGGACAGTTTCCAGATAACATACCAAAATTATGGTAATCGAACCAGCCAACTCTGGATGATGGATGCTAACACAGAGATACACGCATACATAACGGATCATTTTTATAGTAAAGCTATTCTTTGTGTTTCTCATAAGATAATGGTATTAGGCTTATTACCTCTGCCACCGATCCAGTTTCATATTCCAAATTGATATAAAAAAATCAATGACAAATCATTAATAAAGATACAAAAATAATAATAATTATAACAATTTGTAAAATGATAGGGTTGAATATGTTCTCTACTTTGTACCGTTTGTGGAGTCCCCCTAGTCGCGGTTATCAACTTTTTATAGAAACGCAGGGCAACAGTACTATTTTATTGCTAATAGTTACACGCTCAGATTATTACCTATATGTTTAATGTCATTTATCCATCATATTAGTTATTTATTTATCCGTGAAAGTTTGCTTGTAATTATTAAACACAAAGCTATGCAATGGGCTATCTGTTCTGTGCTCACCACGGGTATCGAAACCCGTTTTCTAGCGATGTAAGTCCACGTGTAGCTTCATGAAAGTGAATGTAACTGGTAATTTAGAGTTGATTTTGCAAATGAAGGTTGTCATTACGCCAAAGGTAATCTGATTATTTACAAGAGATTTTATATACTTATTGTATGTTTTAGAGCAAAGAGCCACTTTGAGCTATCCGTTGTGTCCACCGCGGGGAATCGATCCCTGAATTTTAGATCTGTAAGTCCGTTGACTTGTTTATTTATTTGTGCTACATTGTCCAGTCAGTTGAAAATAAGCATTGTATATGTATTCGTTACTTTACTGTAATCTGAGGTGTGTCGGTATTCGCTCATTTCTAGTTGTAGAGGGCCCGCTCATTGCGTGATTGTATTAACTTTAAGTAGCTCAGACGTTAAGGTTGCTAATGCGTTAGCAATGATTCAGAAGAAGAGGGGGAAAAGTACTCCATAAAGAATACTAACTTGTAAATTAGTGATTTTGTTAAGCGCAAAAGCTACACAACGGGCTATATGAGCTCTGCCAACAACGAGGATCAAAACCCGATTTATAGCGTCGCAAGCCTGCTGATTGACCGCTGAGCCACCGTGTGTGTTGTTATTGTTGTTTTAGGTGGGGGAGGGGAGCGTGATGTGTAGATTTTTCATAATATTGTATTTTCATGGTATTTATTTCCTTGTTTACTGTGACCCCAGTAACGTGTGATAGTAATGAATTCCAGTTAATTGATTTTGATTACCTTTTTTTAAAATAAGCCCCCTCCCTCTGAACAAATGCTCCCCCATAGTGCTCATACTGCCGACGGGCCTGAGTAGTGAAAACGATATTTATATAAGCTACGGCCCCACAGTGGCTAAAAGACAGGGTTTTGTTACTCGTGGTGGGCACAGCACAGATAGCCCATTGTGTAGCTTTGCGTTTAACAACAACCAAATCAAACATAAGGAATTTTTAGAATGTGCTTATACTGTGATGAACTCTGTGAAATGCGTTGAGTGAAATGCGTTGTCGGTAATGAATATAGTAGGCATAGTGTGGTTGAACTACTTTTATACACTATTATTCTCGAATAAACGATAAGGGATCATATAAAGACTGTGGTATTTAAAAATACACTAAGCCTAAAACTATTGTATTATAATAAATATAATTGAAGATAATTACACTTCGCCACCAAAAGGCGTTTACAACATAACAATTGTTGTTAATATTCTGTTTGTAGTTTAAACAAAATTACGTCGTTTATAAGCAGCTTCAAAAGTTCTCCAAGTTTAGTTACAAAATACCTTCTGCCGCAAATCACTATGAGCAGTTTTTCAACGATAATTATTAATTTAGAATCATTCAGTGAACTTTATAATAAAAAATAAATCATGTTTATTTATTTCGAATATCAGCACATAGCTACACAAGGGCTATTTACTGCTATCTTCCCCTAATTTGGAACTGAGGGACTAAAAAGTAGGCAACTAGTCAACAGTACCAATCGCCAGTTCTTTGGATATTCTAACCGAAAAGTAAGATTTGACCGTCACTTTTAATAACATCAATCCTAAAGTTATCACTTGGTGTTCTCACCACTGCACCACCTATGGTTTCCTACACATTTTTTTAAAAATCACTTCACAAAGATCATTGGTAAATAAGACTTGAAGTTCAAGTTTTATTCAATTCGTCTTAATAATTTTTCATACCGCTAGATGTCACTCTTTGACAGACTACTAGCAACAGATTCGTTCGATGGGAATTGGAATTTGATAATAATCAGTAGAACGACGGTAATAGCAAACATTCGACACTTTGTTTTGGGTAATGTACGTTTATTCTACTACAATTCTATTCTATACTATTCCACTAGGGTTCTACTATTCGATTCAACTCTTTGCGTTGGATGCCCGGGGCCCCGGCACCTTTCGCCCCCCCCCCCCCTGCACACTACTGTTCGGACGTTTCGGAATATTCACATTCCATCTTCAGCGACTGCATTAATTAATCGATAGTATTAAATACACACATTAATTCAGTTGGAACATTTATAGTAGCATAAGGCGAAAGAAAAAAACAACAACCAGCAGGATTTAAACAGGAAATAACAAAATTTTAACAATTATATTACGAAATTAGTGTGGTAAAGAAGGGGAGGTATAGAGATAACATTGTATAGTTGACAATGTGCTAGGGATATTTATAATAGGCTTAGCTGTAAAGGAGTTGTGTTATTGTTTAGAATGGGGCGTTCATTAAATATGGACAAGCTTTCTTTGATGAGAAGTTCTGCGTTGGATGAACCGGTCGAAATTACTTTAAAATTGTTAATCAGAATAGTGTGGTTGTTGAATGAATATTGTTACGTCTCTGTGTTCGTTTGTTAATTTTCCGTAGAAATTCTTTCCGAAAAACTTCAGCAATACAAGTCC